ATATCATGTTTGGTAAGGTGGAGGGTCAGAGAAAAAGAGGAAGACCCCCAGCAAGATGGATTGACAAAGTGGCAGTATCAATGGGTTCATGCTTGGCAACAATTGTAAGGTTGGCCCAGTACCAGGCAGTGTTTCGTTCTGTTGTCCACAGGGTTCCTATGAGTCGGTACTGACTCAATGAAACCTAACAACAGCAACAACAAATGGCAGAGGATTTTTTGTTCTCTTTTTTTCCTAAAACACTCTTCTCCTTTTTAATCTAATTGACTCTGTTTCATCATTCAGATGCCAAATTGGTATCTTCTCCTTCAGGAAGAACATCAATCTTTATCTCAACACCATACCCAATAAATGATTCAAAACAGACCAAGAATTTGAACAGATGAGCCATAACTAGGTAACTTCTGAAAGAAAACATGAGGTAAACTCGTATTTTGTGATTGCAGGAGCCAATGATTTTTAAGACTCCTTGGTTCATCCTAACTATTTGATTGCTGAATCCATATATATCCCAGTACTCACCATATAGTGTTGTTGTTTGGTACCATCAAGTTGATTTCTACTCCATTTGATAGTGTAGAACTGCCCCAAAGTGTTTTTAAAGCTGTAATGTTTAGAGGAGCAGACCACAAGGTTTTTCTTCTACAGAGCCTCTATGTGGGTTCAAACTAGAAACCTTTATTTCACAGCCTAGTACTTAACCATTGTGCCACCAAGTCACTATGAATCAGAATCAACTTGACAGCAACAGGTTTATGCCATATAGTTGTTAAGTGCCATTGAGTCCATTCTGAACCATAGCCACCCTGTGTAGGGTTTCTAAGAATTAGATGATGAGTTTGAACCACCAACCTTGCTGTTAGCTGTCCACTGCTTACTCTACAGTGCTATTATCAGGACTTCATGCCATATAGTAATGGTCATTAATTGTTTATATTCTTTTCTGTATTGAGAGCTTTAGGAGGTCTTTATGGATTGAATTGTGTGTCCCCAAATATGTAGAAATCCTATCCCCTGTATCTGTAAATATTACCCTGGTTTCTTGAGGTATGTTAATGAGATCATATCAGAGTAAGGTGGGTCCTAAACCACATCTCTTTTAATTTATAAGAAGAGCAGAATAGGCAAAAAATACACACAGGGGGAGACAGCTGCCAAGAAATGCCAAGGAATTTCAGTAGCTACTAAATACTGACTTTGACAAAGAAGGATCCACCCCAAAACCATGTCCTGAATCTGGACTTCTAGTCTCCAGAACTATGAGAAAATAACTTTCTGTTCTTTAAAGCCATTTATTTGTGATATTTTTGTTACAGCAGCAGTAAGAAACTAAGAAATAGGGTGAGAACCATGTCTGATTTTGGTTTTGCTTTTCCATTGTCATAATCCCTGCATCTGACACAAGATGTACAATAGGCCAGCATTTGGTGAGGGAATGAGTGTTGACCTAGAAATTGATATGTATCTGGAGACCTCTGGCCTGTTGACTGCATAGGACTGTTCAGGGCTCACCAATGCCACACGAAGAGCTATAGACATTAGTAGGTCATGCTCTGGTACTCCTGTGGATTCACAAAAAGCTGTGATGGAAAGTAAAGTGATTCTTTCCCACCCTGAGCCTCTCCAATAGTAATTGTTAACATTCTTACGCTGTTGCAATGACAATGGAGTCCAGCCAGTTCCAAGGATCTCGAAGGTAAGAAAACTCATCCAGAATAAAGCCTCTTGCCAATATTTTTATGAAGGCTTCAAAAACATATATCCCAGTGAAGACATACCTATGAAATAAATAATTCAGAAAAAGAAAGAGCATGATAAGTGACAAAAAGAAAAAAGCAAAAGAGCACATCTGTCTTATCTGGCCTTGATGATATTTTCTTTCATTTGAATGTGGTATTTAATATTCTGGTCTGAGCAAACCAATGTTTAGAAAGGTAAGCTCTTCAGGCAAGTCCTGGTCTTACAAATTTTTTAGACCCATGGATAAAGTAGTAAAGCTCCTTTTCAATGCCCTAACATTATGGTTATATTCCTGAGACTAGTTTTGACCAACAAGGGGTACCTAAGACTGGGGTTACAAACTATCACCAGCATTCTAGAGCTGTTACTCTGATGCACAGAGGGAGGCAATGATGAGGGCGCAATAAAGAAAGTAAATAACAAAGAGAAAAAAAAAAAAGGTCTTTCCATTTTCTTCCAAGACATACATCAAATACTATCTTCTACTTAATTTCCTTGTTTTCTTTTTTGTCCCCTCCCCCAACTAAACACAAGAACAAAAAAAAAAAGCTCTGTGTTTTTTATTATAATCCTAAATTGTCAGACGTTAGGCCTGCACATATACATACATATCCACAAATACAGACACACCCAGAATCCACTATAGGGACAGAAATAATCAATTTAGCCAAACAGCCTATTGATTCAGAGTTACAGAAGTGAATGTTTTCTGGTAGACTATTCAGTCATTATTAGTCATCAAAGCTAAACCAAGGTCTTAGAAAGTTGGAAAATCCCAAAGTAATCAAGTCCAAAAGCAAGTAAGGCTGTCATAATCAAGACTTCTCAGCTTCTATCTTCCTCTGAGCTGCTCACTTTTCAGCACACAAAGAGAAATACATTAGACTAAATAATGTCTATGGAGTCCTGGTGTGGCACAGTGGGCTACTGTGCTGGACTGCAAAGTCATTTGAACCACAGGTCAGTGGTTCAAGTTCACCACCTGCTCCTTGGAAACCATATGCAGGGTCAGTATGGGTAGGAACCGACTCGACAGTACTTAACAACAACAAATAATGTCTGTCCTGAGAAAAATGAAAGGCTATAATTGAGGATTTATGGAATTCTGCAAGTCTTTCTCTTGAGTGCAAGCAAATGAGACAGGCTGCCCCTGGCTATCAGTCCTGACTGGCCATTGAGCCTCTCATCTCCTGCCTCCACCATTCTGTCTATTCCATATGAAGCCTGGGCAATGGTGGGACAGGTCAGACCAAGATGATATCTGAGATGGAGTGGACCATACGCAGGGGACAGGGACTAGGAGCTCCCATGGAGTGCGTCACTGTTATGTCAAGCATATTTTGAGTATCAGAAAGAACAAGGACAAAAATTAAATACATTGAAACTGCATAACACCTTACTAAAATCTATTGGGTAACAGAAGAAATAAAAGTTTAGAATTCTTAGAATCAATTAAATCCTGACCAAACATTTGGACTATAGTAAACACAGTATTCTGAGGAAAATCTATAGCAATAAATGCTCACATCAAAAAAGAAGAAAGGGCCAAAATCAGTAGCTTAACACTACAACTCAAACAAAGGCGAAAGAACCCATAAAAGAAGGCCACAGTAACCAGAAGAAACGAAATAATACAGAACTGCTGCTTTTGTTAAGTTCCAGGAAGTCGGTCCCAATTCAAAGCAACCCTGTACAGAGTTTCTGAGGCGCAATTGGTGAGCTTGAACTGCCAACCTTGCGATTCAAACCCATCTTGCAGTTCAGCGCATTAAGCCACAGCACCACATCATGGAAACAAAATCGAAAGAATCAACAAGACTAGAAGTTGGTTCTTTGAGAGGCTTCAATAAACTTGACAAACTGCTGGCCAAATTGACACAGGGGGGAAAAAATAATAAGATGCAAATAAACAAAGTAACAAATGAGATGGGTGACATTAAAACTGAGCCAACTGAGATAAAAGGATCATAATAGAATTTTATGAAAAACTGTACTTCAACAAATTCAAACACCTAAAAGAAAATAGATAAATTTCTAGAAACACAAATAGAGAGAGAAATTTTGAACAGACCCATAACAAAAGAAATTGAAGAAGTTTAAAAAAAAAAAAAAAAAAAAAAAAAACACCTCTGGGCCAGAGAGCATCAAAGGATAATGTTACCAAAAACTCAGAGAAGAGTTGACACCAATTCTACTCAAACTATCCCAGAACACAGAAAAGAAAGGAATATTCCCTAATTAATCCATGAAGCCAGCATAATCCTGATACTAGAGCCAGGCAAAGATACCACTAAAAAGGAAATCACAGCCCTCCGCCTTCTAAGAGACCCAAGGAGAAAAGAAGGCTGGGAGGCAGTGTAGCGATCACAGTCGTAATACCAGAACAGGTGACAGCAGGTGAGTGAAAGGTTAGTGACAGTCTGACACTTGAGGCATTTATTATGATGCCTGAGCAAGAATTGTGGAGCTATTTGCTTTTCAGGTATATTTGAAAACCAAAGGTATTTTAAATGCCTATAAGATACTGTTATGACCTTAGTAGATATCAAAATGCACTGCTGGTTGAATAATTATTTGGAGTTCATATAATTTTCTAATGTTGAGTCATTAATTAGTAGATACAATCTTTGTTGTGGAGTCCTGGTGTGCTGCTGTGGATTAATGCACTGAACTGCAAAGGTAGTTTGAACTGCAAGGTTGACAGTTCAAGCTCACCAGCTGTTCCTCAGAAACCCTATACAGAGTCACTAAGGTTTGGAACCAACTGGACGGCACACACAACAACAAATATTTGTTGAGGCTTCCTGGTGTGATGCTGTAGGATCATCACTGGACTGGTAATGACAAGACTGGTGGTTCAAACCCACCAGCAATCCTTGGAAACCCTATACAGGTTCACTATGAGCCAGAACTGACTCAACTGCACATTTAACAACAACAACCCTCATGAATATAGATGCAAAATCCTCAACAAAATTCTAGCCAACAGAATTCTATGGCATATCAAGAAACAAATAAACAAACAAAAACTTTTTGTTTGTTTATGATCAAATAGAATTCATACCAGGTATGCAAGTATGGTTCAACATTAGAAAATTGACTAATATAAGTCACCACATAGATAAAACAAAGGAAAAGAATCCTAGGATCATCTCAATAAATACAGAAAAAGCATTGGATAAAATCCAATGATCTTCCCTGAAAAACACTCTCCACAAAATAGGAATAGGGAATTCCTCAACATAATTAAGAGCACATATGTAAGACCAACAAGCAACATTATTCTCAATGGAGAAAGGCTGACAACATTCCCCTTTAGAAGGAATGAATGAGACTGATTCCTTCATCAACACTCCTATTCGATATTGTACCTGATGTCCCAGCTAGAACAATAAAGCAATAAAGAGAAACCAAATTAAAAAGGAAGACATCAACTCTATTCACAGATTACATAATCATATACATAGAAAATCCCAGAGACTCTACAAGAAAGTAACTGGAACTAATAGAAGAATTCAGCAAGGTGACAGAGTACAAGATTAACACCAAAAAAATCACTTGGATTCCTTTACACTAACAAGGAGGATTCTGAAACATCAAGAAAATAATACAATTTAAAATAGCCCTCAAAAGGATAAAATACCTACAAATGAACATAACCAGGGATATAAAAGACTTACACTAAATAAGGAAAGCAAAAAACATTACTACAAAAAAATAAAAGAGATCTACATAAATGGAAACGAATTCTATGCTCATAGATTGAAATATTTAACAGAGAAAATGTTAATACTACCAAAAGCCGCCTACAGATATAATATAATCTTGATCTAAATCTCAACAGCATTCTTTAATGAAATGATAAACAAATTTTCAACTTTATATGGAAATAAAGAAGGCTTCAAATAGCTAAAGCAAGACGGAAGAACAACAAAGTAGGTCTCACCCTTTCCACTCTCAAAACTTACTATGCAGTCACAGTAATCAAAAAAGCCTGATACTGTTTCAATAACAGACACACAGACCAACTAATTAGAATTGAGAACCCAGAAGTAAAATCCATCCATCTATGGGTAGCTAGCTGATCTTCAAAGGAGAAGAAACAGTCTCATTAACAAATGGTGCTGACAAAATTGGATATCCATATGCAGAAAAATGAAACAGAATTGAGACCTCACACCAAGCACAAAAACTAACTCAAAATGGGCAAAAAAAATCTAAATGTTAAAGCTACACCTATGAAGGTCCTGGAATATAACATAGGATCAAAACAAAGGAATCCAATTTTGGGTATAAATAGCCTATCAATACATGAAGGACAAAAGATAAATGAGATACATGGGAGCTTCTAAATATTAAACATTAAACATGCTCATCTTTAAAAAATGTTACCAAACAGTGAAAAGAGAACCTAAGACTGGGGGGAAAAAAAAAACTTTGGTAATGACATTTCTGATAAAGGTCTAATTTCTGAAGTATACAGGAGTTCTGGTATAACATTGTAGGATAAGCACTGGACCACAAGGTCAGTTTGAACTGCAAGATATGCAGTTCAAACTCACTAGTCACTCCTTGGAAACGCTATACTGGGTTTCTATGAGTCAAAACCAACTCGACCACACTTAGAAACACAGACACATAGAAAATTTCAACACCTCTGAGCAACAAAAAGGCAAACAATCCAATTTAAAAAAAAAAAAAATGGGCAAAGGACAAGAGCATACACTTCACCAACAAGCACATTCAGGTGGCCAACAAATACATGAAAAGATGCTTGTGATAACTGGCCATTAGAGAGATGCAAATCAAAACTATAATGAGGTATTGTCTCACCTCTGTAAAATAGCAATGATCTAAAAAACCAGAAAATCACAAATGCTGATAAGGTTGTGAGGGGATTAGGGCTCTTATACATTGTGGATGGGATTATAAAATGGTATAATCACTATGAACAATAATACAATGCTTCTGCAGAAAGCTTGAAATAGAAACACCTGATGAGCAGCAAATCCACTCCTAGGTATACATCCTAGAGATCTAGCAAAGGAGACAATGATAGACATAGGCATGCCTCTGTTCATTGCTGAATTATTCACAATTGAAAAAAGATGGAAATAACCTAAGTACTTATCAATACATGCATGAATAAGCAAACTAAGGTATACACATACAATGGGATACTATGCAACTATTAACAATAAAGATTATTTTGTGAAACATCTTTTAACTTGTGAAATAAGTCAATCACAAAAAAACAAATATTGTATGGTCCCCCTATTATGAAGAATCAAAACCAATATACAAACAGAAAGCCAACTTACTAGGAATGGGAGGTGAAGGGAAGGGTGATAATTTTCTAGACAGTAGAAACATGTTGCTTTTAGTGATTGAAAAGACTAGACCAAATATAGGTGAAATCAGCACAACATGGCCAAAATAAGTAAAAACACTAAGAAGTACATGAGGACTCTCAGCAAAAATGGCAGACTAGACAACCACACTACAAAAAACCCTCTATAACAAAGATACAAGAGACCAAATGAAACAGACATAGATGACAATCCTGAAATCCAATGCTTCAGAGGAAAGGATAAAGAAGTGGGTTTAATATTAACTAGGAGAAAAAGTTGAACAGGGATAGTGAGAAAGGACAGATGGGTGAATTATTACTTGGTATGCATGACATGGCCATTTTTAACTTTTGTGAGCAGTACTGGATCCCAATGGTGGACTGACAGCACAGATTCATACTGGTGGCTAATGATGAGAAAACAATCAAGCCCATGCAGCCCAGCCACAACCATACTCCCTGATGCCCCAGGCACTGGAAAAGAGCTACTATTCGCTTCTGTATCAGTGATAGACAATAACTAACACCAGTCAAACCCATCCTACCTTCACTTCACAAATAGCAAACAAAAAACTGCATACATTTCCATTCTCTATTATTCTCACCAGGAGGTAGTTGGTGAGTGACTAAGAAAACACCAACATACAATCATCAGTTAAACACAAATGTTGTATCTCAGAGACAACAGAAAATGTCAGTTCACATGACGAAACAAGACAGAATGACTTAAACAAGTGACCAAAATGCAGAGCCAAAAAAAATGTTTCTGAGAAAGAAAGGTATTAGAACTACCTGATAAGGAATTTAAAAGAATGATATTTAGGTTCATTCGACAGATTAAGAGAAAGATTGAGACAGCTGCAGAGAAAAGGAAGAAAACCACAGAAAACAATTTAGAATTCAGTAAAACACCACAAGAACAAACAGACAAAATAAATGAAAATTTGAAAGCCATACAAAAACTGCAAATAGAAATCACATAGATTAATACTTTGTTGTTGTTAAGTGCAGTGGATTCATTTCAGACTTACAGTTACCTTGTATAGGGTTCCCAAAACTTTAACTCTTTGCGAGAGTAGAAAGCTTCAACATTATTACACAGAAAAGCTGGTGGGCTCAAATCACAGACCTTGTGATTTGCAGTCCAGTGTTTATCATGTGGAGCCACTGAACACTTGAAGATTAATACTAGGATTTCAGAAATGTATAATACATTGAAAGGGCAAAGGAGCAGATCAGAGTCAATGGAAGCCAAAATTAGTGAGCTTGAGGACAAATTTCTCAACACTAGCTTGCAAGAAGAGCAATAAGGAAAAAGAAGGAAAAAAACCTGAAGGAAACCTAAGATTTATATGGGACAACATCAAGAGGAATAACTTCCATGTGAATGGAATTTCTGAATAGAAAAAGACCACAAAAAGCACACAGAAAAGTTGTCAGAGTTGTTAGAAGAAAATTTCTCAAACATTATTAAAAATGAGAAGATGAGCATTCAAGAAGCTAAATGAACCTCAAACAAGATAGACCCCCAAAAGAAAATCACCAAAGTATATTATAATCAAACTTTCTAAAATAAAAGACAATGAAAGAATCCTGAGAGCAGATCAGGAAAAAAAAAAAAAAAAGTTACTGACAAAGGAGAACCAATAAAACTAAAATCTGATCTCTCAGCACCAGGCAGGCAAAAAGGCAATGGGATGACTGACATATATACAACTCTGAAAGAAATAAAAAACTGCCAACCAATAATAATAGTTATTACTTTTAAGTGCCGTCAAGTTGCTTCTAACTCGTAACAACCCTGTATAGGTTTCTGATGGGCAGCTGGTGGATTTGAATCACCAACCTTGTGGTTAGCAGTTCAGTGCTTATCCTACAACACCACACCAACACTCCAAGAATCACAGACCCAGTAAAATTGTCCCACAAATACAACAGTGAAACTAGGACATTTTCAGATAAACAGACATTAAGGAAATTCTAAGAATAAGATTACCTTTATTTACAAAAAAAAAAAATACTAAAAGGAGTTCTTTGAATACAGAATCAACAATAGCACACAATAACTTCAGATTAGTATACATGGTGAGACTACCCAGAAGTCAACCCAGATATATAAGAATCCAAAACAAACCTACAAGACTGAAAACAGAGGACTAGAGATATCAATCTATAATAAAGATAACTACAAACCAAACTAGTGTAGTTATAGAACTTCCAAGTGGCAAGGAAGTCAAGTAGATTTCAAGATAGAACAGATTTTTTTTAAGTTGAGGAGAAATGAATAAATTACAGTATAATCCTAAAGAAAAATTATAAGTCTTCCATCAAAATAAAAAAAAGGAAAATCATAAAGACTTAGTAAACATTAAAACAATAGCAATGAAGAAAATAAGAAACAAAATAAACTCAGGACAGAAAATAATGTGAAACAAAGAAACCAGCAACATCACAAAAACACATACACACACACACACACACGACAGCAATCAATTCATATCTATTAACAATTACAATAAATATAAATGGATTCAATACACCAGTCAAGATACAGAGTGGTAGAATGAGTAAGAAAACGAGCCATCAATATGCTGTATATAAAAGACATACTTTACACATAAAGACAAAAATAGATGAAAATTCGAAGAAACAAATGTATCAGCTAGCAGCAGGCAAAAACAATCAGGAGTGGCAATATTAATTTCTGATAAAATAGACTTTAAGTCTTTTGAAAAAGCCAGAATTAGAGACAAAGGTCATTATGTACTCATTAGAGGGTCATTTTAACAAGACAACATATTATAATAAATACCTTTGCTCCCAAAGAAAGAACCTCAAAATATGTAAATCAAGCTTTTTCAGAATTGAAGAACGATATAAACAACTCTACAATTATAATAGAGGATTTTAAACATGACTTTCAATGAAGGAGAAAATAACTAGAAAGAAACATAACCAAGACACAGAAGAACTAAACAAAAAAACCATTCAACTGTACCTCACAGACATTTAGGGAGCATTCCACGCAACAACAGCACACTACACATTTTTTCCAGTTCACACGGAGCATTCTCTGGAATATACCATGTTAGGCCACAAGCAAGCCTCAATAGTTTTAAAAAATAGAAATACTTCAAAGCATCTTCTCAGATCACAACACTATAAATTAGAAAGTGACAATAGGAAGATTAATAGGGGTGAGAGATCAAATACATGGAAACTGAATAACGTCCTGCTTAAAAACAACTGGGTAATAGAGCAACTTAAAAAACAAAACACCTTGAATAAAATGAGAACAAAAGCACAACGTAACAAAACACTTGGGACACAGTAAAAGCAGTGCTCAGAGGGCAATTTATAGCAATAAAGGCATACACTCAAAAAAGAAGAGCGTACCAAAGACAACAAATTAACCCAACAGCTCAAATAACTAGAAAAAGAGCAGTAAAGTAAGCTTACAGTCATCAGAAGAGTAGAAATAATAAAAAGTAAAGCAGAAATAAATGAATCAGAAAACAGAAAAACAATCGAAAGAATCAGCAAGACAAGAAGTTGGTTCTTTGAAAGGATTAATAAAATTGACAAACCATTGCAAATCTAACAAAAAAGAAGGAAAAAATACAAATAGCATGCATAAGAAACTATATGGGTGATGGTCGTCAGGTCACAACAGAACCAATAGAAATAAAAAAGGAAAATAACAGAACACTATGAAGTACTGTACCCCAGCAAAACTGAAACCTACAAGAAATAGATAAATTTCTAGAAACACACTACCTACCTAAACTAACACAGATGGAAATAGAAAGTTTGATCACACCTACAACAAAAGAAGAGTCCTGGTGTGGCGTTGTGGGATAATGCTCTAGACCATAAGGTCGGTTTGAACCACAAGGTCGGCAGTTCAAATTCACCAGCCACTCCTTGGAAACTCTATACAGGATCAGGACAAGTCAGAATTGACTCGATGGCACTTAACAACAACATAACAAAAGAAGAAATTGATCAGGTCACTAAAAAACTCCCAGCAAAAGAAGTCCTGGGACAGAATTCTACCAAATTTCAGAGAAGCACTGACACCAATTCTATTCAAACACTTCCAAAAAATAGAGAAGGCGAGAAAACACCCAAATGCATCTTATGAATGCCTGATGCAAAAATCAGGCAAAGATATCACTGAAAAAGAATATTACAGACCATTATCCCTCATGAGGACTCCTGGTATGGTGCTGTAGCAGTAGTACTGGACTTTGAACTATAAAGTCAGCAGTTCAAAACTACCAGATGCTCCTCAAAAACCCTATCTCGGGTCACTCTGAGTCAAAACCGATTCTACAGCACTTAACAACACCAACAATCCCTCATGAACATAGATACTAAAAATCTTAACAAAATCCTAGCCAATAGAATCTAACAGCATATTAAAAAAAAATAATACATCATGACCAAATGAAATGCATACTAGGGATGCAAGGATGGTTCAATATTAGAAAATCAACATAATCTGTCACATCAATAAAGCAATGGAAAGAGAGTTCTGAAAAGGAAATCAGGAAAACAAAACCACTTAACAATAGCCACCCAAAAGATGAAAACATAGGAATAACTTGAACTAGAGAAACAAAAGACCTATACAGTACAAAACACCACTACTAGAAACCAAGAAACCTACATAAATAAAGAATATGCCATGCTCATGGATATGAAGATTTAACAATGTAAAAATGTCAACAGTAATCAAAGTGATCTATAGATGTAATCCAATCCCAATCCAGATTCCAAAATCATTCTTTAAGGAGATGGAAAAACTCATCTCCAACTTTATATGAAAAGGAAAGAGACCTAAGATAAGCAAAGCATTACTAAAGAAGAACAAAATAGGAGGGCTCTCACCTCCTGGTCTCTAAATATTCAGTGAAATCACAGTAGTCAAAACAGCCTGGTACTGGTACAATGAGAGGCACATTGAAACAGAATTGAGAACCAGTAGTAAATCTAGTCACCTATGGTCAGCTAATTTTTGACAAAGGACTGAAGCATATTAAATGGTGAAGAGACAGTCTCTTTAACAAATGCTGCTGGAAAAACTGTATATCCATTTGCAGAAGAACGAAACAAAACCCATATCGCATGCCATATAAAAAAATGAACAGAAGCTAGACCAAAGATCTAACTGTAAAACCAACAACTATAAAGATCATCAATGAACAAATAGGGACAAACTTAAAGGCTTTTACACATGGCATAAATGCATCATCAAACATAAACGAAAACACATAAACAGCAGAAGACAAAATAGCTAACAGGGACTTCCTAAAAATTAGACACTTATTTGCATCAAAATATTTCAACAACAGAATAAAAAGAGAACCCACAAACTGGAAAAATATTTAGCTAATGACATATCAGGCAGGGGCTAATCTCTACAATGTATTTTAATAACGTCAGCATCTCTACAAGAAAAAGACAGATAATTCCATTTTTAAATGGGCAGAAACCATGAACATCTTCACCAAAGATGACCTTCAGGCAGTCAGCAAAAATGTGAAGAAATAATCATGATTACTAGTCACTGATGGTGGTGGTTAGAGGGAGGCAAAAGAAGCTACAAATGAAAAGAAATATTTCAAAATAGAAATTGAGAAATGATTTTAGAAAACATACAAATCATCAAGCCCCTGACAAATCTAGACACACACAAAAAGAGAAAACATATGAACAAAATTATAAACAAAAAAGAAAAAACATATAGAAAAATATTCAGAGGAGTTTTGTAAATAACAAAAGATAAAGGCACATTCTGGGGTGTTTGAAGTGTTCTTCATGTTACTTGTGGTGGTTTCTATCATATAAACTTCAACAAAAGACCTCTTACTATTTACTTAGCTTATTATTCAATAGATTCCTGAAAAGTAAGGTAAAGCAGAAAATATGCTAAATTAGAAAAGTTATGACAACATATAGGAGAATATTTATCAAAATATGGAATATTATAAGCATAAAGAATTTACCTTGTAAATCTTAGAAGCCAATTTAAAATGACAGACTAAAAGATAATGTTTTAACTATACAAAGAACTCATACAAACTGATTTGGACAGGAAAGTATTAAGACCGATAAATGGGCAAAGATGTGCAAGCATAATTAACAAAGAAGCGTCAAAATATATACAACTTTATCAGAAATTAAGGAAATGCAAGTATTTTAACACAGTAAATCAGTGAAGGAAAAATGTATTGCTGGCAAGAATCTAGTATGAATGGTTAGTAGAATATCTGCTGATAGAAGAGTAAATTGATATAAACTTTTTGGAAATAGTTTGTCAATGTTTTTTAAAGCATTAAAATGTGTATACTGTTGACCTAGCAAACCATTTCTAAGACTATATCTTAATAAAACATTTTTAAATAGCTTTATGCAAAAAGAGACATATTGCAATGCTACTTATAGTAGTAAAATACTAGAGTAGTTAAGTAAATGATAATGCATTCACTTATTAAACTATAAAATGAAATCCTATAAAACATATATAATGAGTACATAGAAAACCTCTTAAAAGCTTAAATAACAGTACATGTGTTGTTAGTAACAACGTAATTCTTGTTGTTGTTATTGTTAAGTGCCTTCGAGTCAGTTCCAACCGATAGCGGCCCTGTCTAAGGTTTCTGAGGAATGGCTGGTGAGTTTGAACCACCAACCTTGAGATTCAAACTGACCTTGCGGTCCATTGCATTATCCTGCAGTGCCACATCAGGACTCCAATGTAATTCTAAAAGGCCTTTAAAGACTATTGTGAAGAAATATATACAAATAAAACGGACTGCTAGCATTACTTCTTCTTTTTCACTATACTGAACCTTTCCAATGAAATCATAATTTTTCAGATACATTTAATTGAAAACTGTAGGACAGGTGAATGGGGAAAGCAAAATCAGAAAACACTTACTCAGTAGTGTTGGCATTTATACTGCTGTCCTTCCCAGTGTTGGTGGCCATGAACACACAGTTGACGATAACTGTGCCGATGATGAACATGCTGAACAATGTAGCTGACATCCATTAAGGCAGATACACTGCAGGATACAGGCAAGTGGTGGTGGTGGTGGTGTGCCATGGGGTCAGTTCTGACTCATAGAGACCCTACGGTTTCTGAGACTGTAAATCTTTACGGGAGCAGAAAGCCTTATCTTTCTCCTGCGGAACAGCTGGTAGTTTTGAACTGCTGACCTTGCAGTTCGCAGCCCAATAGTAACCACTACGCTACCAGAGCTCCTGTCCATTCAGAGGTGGTGTGCAGTAAGGACTGTTCCCATAGGTACATCATCTCCTAATTGAGAGTACTGGTTGAAAACAGCTCACACCTGGAGCTCTGCCCTCAGCAGAATGAGAACCACTTCATCTAGAGGGCCGCCAGGCCCTTCCGTAAGTCTCAGTAACCAGACTTACAAAAAGTCTGGGTCAAGGTGAGACAAGTCTGTGGTGCAATTCAAGCTTCAGAGCTCCCCATGGGATAAGGCTACAGCACACTCCAGCTGAGACCCCATCTTTTCTTGACTCCTCCTCTTGCCCTTGTTTCCCTCTGTTTCCTCCTTCAAAAAGCATTTCTCGGAGAACAAACAAGATGGCAGATCGGGTGGACGTATAGCAGAGAGCTCCGCCAACAACAACACAGAATACCCGACCAAGCAGGCTCAGGGGCTGGTCCCTAAACTCTGAACCACATATAAA